GCCAGGAGCTCCAACTGGTGTCCCACTTGGGTGGTGGGAGCCCACGTACTTGGGCCATCAGCTGCTGCCTCCCAGAGGCACTGGCAGGAAGCTGGATGGGAAGCAGCAGCAGGACTGGATCCCAGGCACTCTATGGGAAGTGGGTGTCCCAAGCAGTGGCTTAACCTCCTGCACCACAACGCCTGCCCCTCCCACCATCTTTTCTTTCAAGTTTCCAAAAGAACTTTACTTTCTCTTTTGCGCCACCATTTCCCTTACTCTTTCCTGCAACCTGCTATTTGTCTCCTAATGCACTACTGAAGAGACCTCCGAGAATCCAAATCGCAAGCTCTTTAAAATTTCTTACCCTACTTTTCTCACAGAAACACTTCCTGGGCTTGGCTTCTGGGGTATTATATTCTCTGGCTTTCCAACCCAGTCTACAAAGAGCAGTCTTTAATTCTCCTAATGCACAGATTTAACAGGTGAGGGCTCAAACATCTTTAAGGCTACCTGCAGCCTGCAGAATCAAATTTAAACCCTCAGCTTGATGCTCCAGGCACTCCGATCAAAGCTTTCCTGACTTTCCCCCATCTCTCCTAAATACTCCCTTATGCCAACCATGAGTTTACTTGCTGGTCTTCAAATACTACCAAAGTTTCACTATATCTATTTAAAAAAAAAAATCCTCATTTTCACTTTATTTCATAGGCAGAAAGCCAACACACAGAAGCAGGCTGATCTGCTGTCCAGTGGTTCACTCTCCAGATGCCTGCAACAGCCAGGGCTGGGCTAGGCTGAAGCCAGGACTCTAGAACTCAATCCAGGTCTCCCAGGTGGGTGGCAGGGATCCGAGTACTTGAGCTATTGAAAGATAACATTAGTATGAAGCTGGATTGCAAGCACAGGAGCCTGGATTTGAACAAGTCGCTTCGATATGGGATGTGGGCATCCCAAGTGATATCTTAATTATTCCACCAACTGCCCTCCCCAATCTTATTACCTCTGCCCTATTTTCCTGCCTTCAAAGTCCTCCCTCAGGAAGGCTGCTAAGTGTGCCAAGTCATCTTACTTGTTATCTGTAAAGGGTTAACAGAACTTCCTGTGCATGGAGAAGCCTGGGTGAACTGTCTAGCTCTGCCCCGAGGAAACGTAATGGGGTAACTTATTACTAGGCAAGGCTGCTTACAGCAAAAATGATGCTAATTGGTAAATTATACCTAGACTGGGAAGACGTGGCCTTGTGCTTCTCTGGATGGAGTAACTCTCGGAATTGGGCATGTCTCCTGCGGGGCCCCAGAAACTGCATCTGTAGACCAGAGAAGGTGGCTCTCGTGTGCGAGGCTCCTGCGCCAGGATGGTTCTCGCACCTGTGTGTTCAGGCGCTAATTCTTGGATGGCTGTCACTGCCGCAGAACTCCACCCACAAGAGACACATTTGATGACCCCATGGACAAGCTGTTCTGTGTCTTGTACACTGAGTAAACCGGTGTGTGACCTCTTCAGGTCCCTAACTTCACACACTCGGTCTAAAATGACTCCTTTGAAAGGCATCAGAGACCCACTGTTTATCTTGGCGCAGTTCACTTTGAGGGGTTCTTCCACCTCCCTCCCTCAAGATCCGAGGCTAAAACCTTAGATCTTTTTCATCTGGCAGAATCTGTTATGCCATCTGGTGAATCACTTGGAAAATCTGAATCTCCTTTTTCCCCCATTAGTGGAGATATTAACTACTTCCTGCCTCCAAAGGTTGCTGTAATGAGGATGAGAAAATATTTCCTAAGAGGTAAAATGCTAGGCCTGAGTGCTAACACTAGTACCATCCGTACTTCCCTTCCAGAAGTGCCCTTACAAATAAATATCTATTCAAGCAGTTCATATGGTAATCCTGGGTTTCATTTCAATCTTCAGATAATAAAAATGACTTGATAAAGGAGGGTCATCCTGATGTAAAACTGATGTCAAGCTTAAGAACTGCCTTCAACTCTTTCCTCCAGCCCCAAAGTCTGATCTGCTTTTAGGACAGAACATTGTCTGTTCATACCTTAAATCACCCCTCACTGAACGCAATCCAACAGCTTACCACCTGCCAAACAAGGAGAAGAAGATACATCACTTGTGTTTTAAGCCAGAAAACTGGAAGTGGAGTCAGTCAAAATCTCCATTATACTCCTGGGACCTCTTAGGTCAAGCACAGAAGGGCAGAAGCAGCCATTATCAATCAATCCCCAGGTTTATAAGAGAAGGTGGATTAGAGAACTGGCAATTTAGCAATTTGCCTGATAGGTTTCACTTTTAGGTAGCAGTAGAGTATCACTTAATTAGCAGAAGCCAGCTCTATCATGGGGACAGAGGTTCTATCTGGGCCAAACCACTCATCACAGACTCCACTGCCACATGACTATCTGGGTCCCTCTCCTGTAGAATTCTGCACGTAGATGGAATGGCTCCTCCGTGGCTACTCCAGTCCTGCTCCTCCTCAGGTTGCTGGTAGGATTCAGAATACTGCCCTCCTCCTTTCTGCTCTGGCCAGCCAGCATCTAGGACCCAGATGTCTTCTCACATTAACCCTACAGGGAGTCCTATCTTCCCCTGCAAGCCCAGCACCAGAAACTACTGGGCCCCAGAGCCAATGGATCCCATTCCCAACAGATCTGCTCTTGAATGTTTTTCCAAAAAATGAAGACAAGATTGAACTGTATTAGCAAGCCAGGCCAAATGAAAAACAGGACAATCTGATTTTTGCATCTATTTATCTGTGAGGATATTTTAGTTTTAAAATTTGGCTAAAGGGTAGCAGACACTGTCGTGGCACAGTGAGTTAAGCCCTGCCTGGGACACCCCTATTGGAGTATTGATTTGAGTTCTGGTTGCTGTGCTTCTGATGTAGCTCCATGCCCATACACCTGGGAAGCAGTAGATAGCTCAAGTACTCGAATTCCTGCCACACGTAAGGGAGACCTGGGTGAAGTTCCTGGCTCCTGAATTCAGTTTGGCCTAATCTTGGCTGCTGTAGCCATTTGGAAAGTGAACTAGCAGATGGAAGATCTTTTAAATAAACAACAACAATTTTTTTTAAAGATTTTATTTGAAAGGCAGAATTAGAGAGAGGGAAAGATCTTCTAACCGCTGGTTCACTCCTCAGATGACTGCAATGGCCTGGGCTGGGTCAGACTGAAGCCAGGAGCTTCATCCACATGCCCCATATGGGTGCAGGGGCCCAGGCACACCTGCAGGGAACTGGGAGCTGGAGCAGAAGCAGAGCAGCCTGGATGGCACCCGTGTGGGATGCCAGAGTGTGTGCCAGATGCAGGAGGTGGCGTGGCCCTCTACTTCACAGTGCCGTTTTTGTTTGTTTGTTTTTTAAGACTTATATATTTGAAAGGCAGTTAAAGAAAGAGAAGGAAGGAAATCTTCCATCCACTGGTTCACTCCCAAAATGGCAACAATGGCCAGAGCTTGGCCAAGCGAAAGCCAAAAGCCCACAGTTCCACACAGATCTCCCACATGGGTGGCAGGGCCCAAGCACTTGGGCCATTTTCTGTTGCTTTCCCAGGTGCATCAGCAAGGAGCCAAATCAGAAACTGAGCAGCCAGGACTGGAACCAGTGCTCATACGGGATGCCACATCACATATAGCAGCTTAGCTCACTGTGCCACACTACTCAAAACATCTTTTAAAAATAAAATTTGGTGGCAGGCACTGTGGCGCAGTGGGTTAAAGCCCTGGCCTGAAGCGCCTGCATCCCATGTGGGCGTTGGTTTTAGTCCCGGCTGTACCTTTTCCAATCCAGCTCTTTGCTCTGGCCTGGGAAAGCAGAAGATGGCCCAGGTCCTTAGACTCCTGTACCCACGTGGGAGGCCCAGAAGCAGCTCCTGGCTCCTGGCTTCGGATTGGCACAGCTCTGGCCATTGCGGCCACTTGGGGAGTGAACCAGCAAATGGAAGACCTCTCTCTGTAATTCTTTCAAATAAATAAAATAAATCTTAAAAAAAAAAAAAAAAAAATTTGGTTGATTCACAAGTGGAACATTAACTATAGCTATATTCATTTTTGTCAAGTACCTAATTTTATTAACTGGTACAGTGATGGCATTTCATTAATGAAATTATTTTACAGAAAAATTTGGCATATTTAAATATTAACCCAGAATTTGGCTCTGCATGAAAAGAAAGAAATATGGTTAAGGCCAGAATGAGTAACTGGGGATCAGCAGGGGGAATACTAGCTCAGCCATGAGTCTCTCCAAAAAACTGCCAATCTTATAATGCATAGACATTACCGGTTATTGGTAAAGCGACAATAGCAAAATCAGGAGTGTCCACATACTTGATGACTCAAAGTATAACACACAGGTACTTCAAAATAGTCGTGGAAAGACAATACTAAAAAGCCAGGTTCATTTTGGTGCTAAATTTTTTTGAAATTCATGTATGAAAGCATTCTTCAACCCCCTATTTTGTGTGCCTTCAGGTCACAAGCCCATGTGTACATTAAAAGCAAGATTATCCTGTACTTCTTGTAGTTTTCGCCTTCCCGTATAGCTTCCATCCAGGACAGAGTCATCTCCCAAATGGTCCAAGGACTTCCCCAACGGGCCCTTTGTCAAAGCTGAGGGGCTCAGCCGGCTGCTGCTGCAGACAGGCCCTGTCCCTAGAGAGCCTCCAGAGCCGGCCACGGACGCACGCTGGGGCTGAGTGGCACAGGAGAAACCACACTTTCATTTTACATATTTTCCTGAGCCAGCAACACGTGGTTTGATATTCTTTCCGAAGCTGGACACAGCAGGGACAATTCCCCACTAGGAGAGCCAACAACCCAGACTCTGCAGTATACAGTGCTGTTGAGTGAGGATGCTCATTGAGTGACCCGTATCAAATGTGTTTCTGACTTAGGATGTGTTCAATGTATGGTGAGTTCACTGGGATGGTACCCCATGGTAAATCCAGGAGCATCTGTATAATGCAGGCATCAATGGTGGGCACAAACCTTGGAGCTACCATTGAGATTCATTTAATGACTCTGGAAAAATGAAGTAGAAGTTTATTAGCTTTATATAAACCACCGCAAAGCATATCCAGCACATATACAAATTTTCTTCAAATTCTCTGTGTAGTAGCCTATTGGTTTTGAAACTGACACTTTGCAAGCAAATTAAATGTTCAGAGACCAAACAAACACCATCACTCAGAGAAAAATATAACTAAAGAACATTTATTTTCCACTAAGAGTTTGCCTTGAGGATGTAACTAAACTGAGCCACCCCCCACCCCATCTCCAAGGGTTAGTACAGTGACTGTTATAAAGCAGATCTCAACAGTCTGAAGCTCTGGAACCAACATTAACTGACAAAAAAATTCCATCTAAATCCTCATAAAAATGTTTAAGTAAAAAAAAAAAAAAGGGAAGAAAAAGAAAAGAAAAAAGGGGCAATGGGGGTTTCAGATTGAACAACATTCTCACACTTCATCTGATACATTCAATCTGGCTAGAGTGTACCAAGTGGAAACAGGATCACTATAATACAAAACTCCCACTACAGCACGCTGTACACACCTGTGTTCCAAGCCCACCCCCATCCCCCTACTGCTTCCACTCCATTATTTTCCCGCCTGTTGGGCCTGCCGGCGGAGGAGCACGTAGATCTTCTCTTTGATCCAGTCTTTGTTATAAGGCTGGTATGTCTGGGTATCAGCCCGGTAACTGAGGAAGAGAAAGGTAACAAGCAGAGTTACAGCGGTCACTTACTGGCATGCATTCAAAGCCCCAAATCTTAACTGCCCGGCGGGACATGGGTGTGCACATTCCCACACATCAGCTTAAGGAGGAGGTGAAAGATGCTTCCGTGGCTGCTGAATTTTAAGGAACACAAACTTCAGATCACCTAGTACAATTGCACAGTGGAAAAAGCAACTAAGACCGGGAAGTCCAGTTACGTGCTCAGTATGTTACCTCTCTACTTGCTGACACAGTGTGGCCAGAACTGTGTGCTCTTTCTCCCACGTAGCTTCTATTTTTATAGTTCCTTTAGTGATTACAAGACATAAACCAAACACTGGTACAAACTTTAGATTTGCTAAGTTTACTCTGAATTAACTAAGAAACTTTTACAACATGTTACTGCCAAGATTTCTTGCTGTTTTTTCCCTTGTGAAGTACTAAGAGAAAGAAACCCCATAGTCTGTATTTTAGAACTTGCTTTTTAAAATAAATTTAAATTTGCTAGAGGTCTTTGGAGGGGAATTATCAGAAGACAAAGCAAACTCTAAAAACGTCTCTTCTCAGAAAAGAAGGGCAGAGAACACGCCCAGCATTAGCAGTAAACTCCCACAGGCCTCCAAGTGCTTCAGGAGCCTGAGAAATCCCTCCAGGACTCAAAGACAAAAACCAAAAACAGAAAAAACATCCCAGTTGACCTACAACTGAAATTCTGTGGGATAAGTAACAAACCCACTTCTGGAGCCAAACTAAAGCCATAGCATAAAAAAGAAACCGCACGCAACCAGCAACCAGCGACAGCCATCACAGAGAGTGCATGCCGCATCTCAGAGCTGCGGGCACCACCTGCTGGGAGCACCGCGCACAGCCAGGAGGGAGGCGCACAGCCAGGAGGGAGGCGGCAGTCTGCCTGCCTAGACACACCTCAGGAAAACAAAGTAACTGGGTTTCAATTACTGTCTTGTTTTAGCCAGACAAATGACATTCACAGGTACCTATTTAGATGTTATCAAACACTAGGAACTGCTTTAAGCACTCTGCAACCCTGCAAGTAGGTACAATTATAATCTGTTACAAATGAGGACACCAAGGTTCAAGAAGCAATGTATAAGTGACCCTGGACGACTGGTAGAGTTTAAACACTCCTCTCTCCTTGGACCTCACTGAACACCAAGCCAGAAATCGACACTCTCAATTTTTGGCCAAGGAAACAGATTCTGAAGAAGAAATGCTTCCCACGGCAACATCATAGTCTTCCTTTGAAGGATAAAATCAGCCTCGGGTTTATTAAAAATGCGCTTTTACAAAATGCTTTTTTACTAATGTCCTTTTTAAAATAAGCAATATTCTAAGAAGTAAAGTAATTTTCTCTATCTTCTGTTCATGCTTCATAATTAAATAAGTGCTAATCTAGCATACTTTAAGATGTGGCAGGGTAGACTACAATATTCGTAATAGCAATGGACAAGAGCAAGAAAAGGAACAGAATTTCTCAGAACTATCATTTCTGGGTGGGAAAGCCTTATTCCCAGTCCATTCCTTCTCGCAAATCTAATCATCATGGCTTGTAAGCATTTAGTAACCCATCAGCTTGCACGCTGTTTTCCAACTCACAGAAGTAATGTCTTCTTTATGGAAAGCTGTGTGTTGATGGCTGCTAACCGGCACTTGAGAAAATGAGACAATGAAATGCTGAGTACATTAATAAAACGCCTCGCTGTTGGCTGGGATGACTTTTCTAGCCTACTGCTCTGCTATCAGTGAATGCAGGCTGAGACAGCAGCAGAAGCTGTGGTCTGCACACTGAACTCAGCAGAGTCTTCACAACAGCAAACTATCCCCCGACAGGAGACCCATCTCATCACAGAAACCTTTTGTCTAAGCAAACAAGGAGAGCCTGCATATTTAAAAGGCTGTTTCAGTCATCTTAAAAATCAAAGATCAGAAAGCTGTGAAAACAATCCATACTCTGACTCTAAGTACACAAAATGCAAATTCTCCGATTATATTACTAATACATGGTTGGTTTGCCCTGGGTTAGTTATGTTGCCAGGTAGAACCTATTCCATTTCCTCATATGTGTTTTCTTACAAACAAACAAACAAACAAACAAACAAAAAAACAAAAACACAAAGGTCCAAGGGTCACTATCATATACATTTAACAGAAGCCACAAGGTCACAATTTACAAACAGACTCATCCCTGGCTTGGGAAGTTAACAGCTCAAATTCTGTTCCCTGACCAAGGAAAGCAGCAGGGTGAGCAAGCTCAGGAGCCTACAGCAGTATGTGACCTCTTTGGAAACATCTTATTTTTCTTGCCTAATAGAATATAACCAAAATCATGTGAGAAAAATAGTTCTAAATTCAATTCTCAAAGCTTTCAGAGGCCAAATGATTTTCAATGTTAAAAACAGAAACATACGGTGGGTGCTGTGTGTAGCAAGTCAGGCTGCCACTCGGGACACCCAAACCCATACTGAGTGCCTGGGTGGCTACTCTGCTTCTGATTCAGCCTCCTGTTAGTGCATCCTGGAGGCAGAAAGTGCTGACTCAAGTGCTTGGCCCCTGGCACCTACATGGGAGACCGGATGGAGTTCCAGGCTCTTGGCTTCTGCCTGGCCCAGCCCTGAGTTATGGGCATTTGGGGAGTGAACCTTTCTCTTTCCCAAGTAGATGAATATAAGTGATTAAAACAAAATAAAGCAAAAGTAAAACAAAAACCCTACTTCTTAGAGCTTTTCAGATAGATAATTAGACAATTAAAAACCATAAATTATCGTTAATTTTTCTTCTGTATTACCTGAACAAGTTGGAAAGAATTATCCAGGGAAAAATTAAGTAAGTCTTTCCTTTTTTTCCTTATTTTAGCATATTATATGTGGTTTCTGGTTTATATTTAATAGTTACATACTTGTGGTATGTCCCTCATTACCACTGTTTTACTTTGTATAATATTCCCAGTCACAAAAGCCAAAATACCTTTTCACTGGTTGATAATATAATTAATCTCATGAAAATTTATATTCTTACCATTCTGCTCATAGCAAGTTTTAGATACTAGTTGTAATTAAAAACAAACCCTTTGGGGCCAGCATTGTGGTGCAGCGGGTTAGGCTGCTGCCTGCAGTATCAGCACCCCATATGGGGACCAGTTCATGTTCTGGCTGCTCTACTTCTGATCTAGTTCCCTGTAATGTGCCTGGAAAAGCAGTCCTGAGGAAGGCCCAAATGTTTGGGCTTTATCACCCATGTGGGAGATCCATATGGAATTCCTCACTCCTGACTTCAGCCTGGCCCAGCTTTGGCAGTTGTGGCTATTTGGGAAGTGAATCAGCAGATGGAAGAGCTTTGTCTCTCTCTGTAACTCTGACATGGGTCACTCAATCCCTTGTACATACCTCCTACATTTAGCAAAATCTTCACTAACTCTCCACCTCCTCACTTGCAGCCATCCAGTTTAAGAGTGACTAGAAAATCTAGGACCTCAGCTTGAATTCACTTTAAATGCATTAACAAGTACCCCAGAGGACACTTAGTGCATCCCAGAAATCACACATATCCTTAGCCCTACACCCTCCAAGATTATTTGCAAACCTGCAACATCTCCTCTTTCACCCTCAATTTCAAAGAGGGTCTTTGCTTCCTATTTACCTGAGGTAACGGAAGCACAACCAGAAAACCACCAGCACGTTTGTCTGCCCTTCCTACTTCCCCACCAATGGCCTGTCAAGATCCTACTAAAGCCATTCACCTCTCCCTTCCTCACCAGATCAGCCTGCCACTTGCCAGCATTTTCTCCCATGGAAAGGGGGGACAGTCTCCTTCTCTGGCTATATTTGCTTCTGCACTCTTTCAAGCAAAATTCTTCAAACAAGTCATCCGTATTAACTGCCTAAAATCCCCACTTCTGATTCCCTTAAACTTACTGAAATCCGTAAAGACTTTACTCCCATGATTCTACCAGAGACTTCTCACCTTCTCAGCCCTCATGTGCTTGACCTTTCGCTACTATGAAAGGCTTCTGCAGTAGCTCCTAGGACGACCCTGCCCCCTGCCCCTCCCAGGCTTCCTCAGGGACTTCAAACCCACCATGCACACTCCTGCCCTGTGACTCGTACACCACCTGTGCCTGGCCTCCTCTCTCCCCTGAGCCGGTGCTCAAACATCACCCTTCAGTGACCCGGTTATTTTCCAGCCGCCCGGCAACATTGCAACCACCTCCAGACCCTCCTTACCACTTTCCCTTCCCTGATCTGTTTGTCTCTAGTTTTAAAGAGGGACTTAACGCCTTTATTTTTAATCTACCTGTCTATTAGGTTACGACTCTCCCTATCAGAATGCAAGCTTCGTAGGAGCGGAGATGTTTCATCTGTTCTATCCACTGCTGAATTCCCAGTACCCAGAACATACACTTGGCCCTCCATATGCCCAGGTTCTGCATCACAGGATTAAACCAACTGTGGGTCAGAAATATTTGGAAAACAAAAACAAAAAAACTGCATCTGTTCCAAACAGGTACAAACCTTTCTTCTCCTCACAACTCCCTAAACAATATGGTACAACTATGTACACAGCGTTACATTGTATTTAAAATACACAGGAGGATGTGTAGTTACATTGCCAGTTTATGTTGGGAGTTTGAGATTTGGGGATCTTGCTACCAATCCCCCACAAATACTGAGGGACCACACCTGGTAAGCAGCATTCAAATATTTGCTGACTGAACATGTCTGTGTCTCTATGAGAGGACATGTGTCAGAAGACATGCAGACCAACTGCAGATTAACCCAGCAGAGTATCTGCAGCTCTACTATTCTCATAGTTTTCTGAGTTATATTTAAAAATAATAATTAAAACTTTCTAATTAACACCTTTCGTTAAAGACCAAAACTAGACAACTTGAACATTCTGAGTAAGCAAAGTAAAACAGCTGTAACAATGAAGAGACACATAAAACAACTCAGGGCAGGCATTTGACCTAACAGGTAAGAAGACCCATGTCCCACATCAGAGTGCTGGGTTCACGTCACCGATGTGAGAGACCTGGATGGATTGCCTCACTCTCAGCTTCGGCTTCACCCAGTCCCAGCAGTTGCAGGCATTTGGGATGTGAACCTGTACGTGGGAGCACTCTCTCTCTGTCTCTCAAATAAATTAGAAATAATTTAAGGGGGTGAATGATATAGTATTTTATGCTCCCTGGTAATAGTGGTAATGAAAAAGGGGGTGGGGAGGGAAAAGCACCAAGACATGAAACTTCTCTACCAGCACCCTCTGCAGAGTAACTGCATCAGTCAGTAAAGTTCTTCAAACTGTCCTGTGTTTTTGGCTTTATGTATTCAGTTTACAATCCATCTCTAAGAAATCCTAGTTACTCGGCTACCATCAATCATCTCAAACAGCTGGACAGAACAGTAAACACAGGAGATAGGGGGCTAATACTTACACAAGGCAGCTGAGGTCTGCCAGATCATCAATAAAATCAAACAACTGACTGATATCGTATGTGATAGACGGACTGTTGGGATTCATTCTTTTCAGATGTTCCTCATACATTTTACAAACACCTAGGAGAAGAGAGAAAGAAAGAAAAACAAAGTTTTTTTTTCTTAAGTTTACTTACTAAAAAATCAAGATCTTACAATCACAAACTTTCAGATGAGCAGTGTTGTGTATCGAGATCATATTTATTCTGATAAGAGTTGGGCTGGAAAAACAACAGTAGGTTGATCACTTTTTCTTAATTAGTGATACGAACAAAAAGAAATTCACCAGGATGTTGGTAATGGTTTGGTGCCCTAACATAAAAAAACTTCAAACCACGGGTGGTAAAAGGACTTTAAAAGACTTGTCCTCTAATGATTCAAGCTAATAGTAACACTGCATCTGACGGAGCAATTCTTTCCAGTAAATCTTTCTAAAACCAGAGGAAAGAAACAAGTGAAGGGGTTATCCTCACAGGTGATTAAGATCCTGGACTATGGATTTGGACAGACCGGAATTCCAGCTCTGCCCTTATTAATTGTGAAACTGAGGCAAGTGACTCCACTTCATGAACCTTACCTGACAAACAGGAAATAAAAAAATTAGACAAATACATTCATTGTTCACCTTAAAAAAGCATTGACCAACAAGCTACCATCATACTTAATGTGAGAAACTGATGCTTTTCTGCTAAGATTAGGAAGACTGGAATAGTTACTCTTGCCACTTCCCTTCAACATAGCAGGAGGTTCCTGGCAGGACAATTAGGCAAGAAAAGCAGGAACAGGTATCCAGATCAGAAAGGAAGTACAACTGTCTGTATTTGCAGATGACTCGATTCCACAGTGGAAAGCGCTAAGAAAACCACGGAAAAATTATTAGGATGAACGAGTGCAACAGTGGCAGGATACACAATTACTATATAGAAATCAATTCTATTGAGGCCAGTGCTGTGGCGTAGTGGGCTAAACCTCCACCTGCGGTGCCAGCATCCCATATGGGCACTGAGTCGCATCCCAGCTTCTGATCCAACTTCCTGCTGATGGCCTGGAAAAGCAGCGGAATATGGTCCACGTGCATGGGCCCCTGTACCCGAGTAGGAGACCTGGAAGAAGTTCCTGACTCCTGGTTTCAGATCGGTCCAGCTCCAGCTGTTGCAGTCATTTTGGGAGTGCACCAGCAGATGGAAGACCAGAGCCTCCCCCTTTCTGTCTGTAACTCTCAAATAAATAAGTAAATCTTATTTAAAAAATCAATATTTCAATACTCTTAACGGTAAACAATCTAAAATGAAGAAAATAACTATTTACAACAGCATAAAAAAATAAAATCCTTGTGGATAAATTTAACAAAAAAAGCACATTATCTGTACACTGAAAACTACAAAAATGCCATTGAAAGTAAACACTTAAACAAATGGAAACACGTCCTATGTTCATGGACCAGAAAACATTTAAAACCTTACTACAGGCCGGCGCCATGGCTCAATAGGCTAATCCTCTGCCTTGCGGCACCGGCACCCCAGGTTCTAGTCCCGGTCGGGGCACCGGATTCTGTCCCGGTTGCCCCTCTTCCAGGCCAGCTCTCTGCTGTGGCCAGGGAGTGCAGTGGAGGATGGCCCAAGTCCTTGGGCCCTGCACCTGCATGGGAGACCAGGATAAGCACCTGGCTCCTGGCTTCAGATCAGCGTGATGCGCCGGCCAGCGGCCATTGGAGGGTGAACCAACGGCAAAAGGAAGACCTTTCTGTCTCTCACTGTCCACTCTGCCTGTCAAAAAAAAAAAAAAAAAAAAAAAAAAAAAAAAAAAAAAAAAAACCTTACTACAATCAAGATAGTGTAGTACTTGCATAAGGATTATAATACATCAATGGAATAAAATTGGTCCAAAAATAAAACCTCAGACTTATGGTCAACTGCTTTTCCACAAGGGTGCCAAACAATTCAATGAAAAAAGATTAGTCTTGGACTGGTGCTGTGGCACAGCGGGTTAATGCCCTGGCCTGAAGTGCTGGTGTCCCATATGGGCGCCGGTTCGAGACCTGGCTGCTCCACTTCTAATCCAGCTCTCTGCTATGGCCTGGGAAAACGGTAGAAGACGGCCCAAGTCCTTGGACCCTGCCTCCATGTGGGAGACCCAGAAGAAGCTCCTGGCTCCTGGTGTCTGACTGGTGCAGCTCCAGCTGTTACAGCTAATTGGGGAGTAAGCCATGGAAGACCTCTCTCTCTCTGTATAACTGACTTGCAAATAAATAATCTTTTTTTTTAAAAAAAAAAAGAAGCTAAAAAAATAAGAAAAAATGATTAGTCTTCTCAACAAATGGTACTAGGACAACTTGATAATTAGACGCAACCAAATGAAGTTGGACCCATAAATCACACAACGTAAAAAAAAAAAAAAAACAAAAAAAAACAAAAAAAAACAAACAAACCATGAAGATGGATCAGAAAATGCCTGGGATGGATTCCTGCCTGTTTCCAGCTCAGCTTTCTGCTTTGTGAACCCTGGGAAGGAACAGATGATGGCTCAAGTGCTTGGGTCCTGTCACCCACATGGTACACCTAGATGGAGTTCCTGGCTCCTGGCTTCAGTCCAGCCCAGCCCTAGCTGTTGAGGGCATCTGGGAATGAGTTAGTGGATGGAAGCTCATGAGCTCTGTCACTCTGCCTTTCAAATTAAAATAAACAAACAAGAAGTGGGAGCAGAGGGAAACCGGAAAGAGCCGGGGCAGGTGTCTGGCACCTCTACTTAGGATGCCCACATTCCCTATCAGAATGCCTTTGCTTCCAACCCACTTTCTGCTAATGTACACCCTGGGAGGCAACAGCAGTGGCTCCAGTGCTGAGTCCCTGGCACCCAGGGGGAGCCTCAGACTGAGCTCCAGATGCTTGGCTTCAGCCTGAGCCAGGCCTGATTGTTGCAGGCATCTGGAAAGTGAACCAGGGGATCAAAGATCTCTGTTCTCCAAATAAAATGAAAATAAAAATTAAATTAAAAAAAAAAATCAAATATTTAAAATAAATAAAAGAACTCACATGATGAAACGCTCAGTAAAAAACACAGGCATTAACCTTTGTCATCTCAAAGAAATGATTTCTTAGATATGACAACAAAAACACAAGCAACATCAAGAAACAGTTGGACTTCATGAAAATTAAAAATGATTGTGTTTCAAAGGACATTCGAAGCGTTGTGCTAGCTCAAAGAAGCCAATGTGGAAATGCTACAGTCGTGCAGTTCCAACATGACATTCTGCAAATGGCACAACTAGAGGCAGTAGGAAAAAACCCAGTGGTTGCTGGAGGCCTGGGAGGAGGGGCGGGGAAGGAGGGAGTAGAAGAGTTGAAGAGATTTTCAGGCCATTCATGTGACCTACTGATGGTAAATACTTATCAGCACACATCTGTCGAAACTCAGAGGAAGCTCAAAGCCAGCAGCCCTAATATCAACTCTGAACTTTACTTACTAATATCTCAATATTGGTTCTTCAATTGCAACAAATTTATCACCCAAGGAAAGACGTGGTAACAGGGGAAATTGGGAAGGGAGATGCTAGAACCTGTACTAGTTGATCAATTTTCCTAAAACTGCTCTAAAATAGCAGTCTATTAATTTTTTAAAAAGGAGCGAGGGGCTTAGGGAAGAAAAGCTCTACTTACAAGTAACTATGAACTACTACCAGAAAGAAAAACAGAGCAAGAAAACCACCATTTGGTAACCACCACGTGGGAACTGATTCAATAATTCTACCTAACATTTTTGTTTTAATCTTTTAATAAATCACCATTTATAACATAAAACAAAACCCCAACTCTTCTAAGTCATGAAGAGACATGGAAGAACCTTAAATGCATATTACAAAGAAGCCAGTCTGAAAAGCAAAATCCACAGAACTGTACAGCACAAAGAATAAATTCTAATGCAAACTGTGGCCTTTAGTTAATAAAGATTTATCAATACTAAATCACTGTAACAAACCTAGCACATCACTAGAACAGACATTAATAATGGGGGAAATGTGAAGAGCTAGGAAGGAGTAATATAGAAACTCTACTTTCTGTGTAGTTTTTAATGAAACCTAAGACTGTATATTAAGATATACAGACTTGCTAACACACACACACGTACGTACATGTTTCTATGCATGTTTACACACATATAAAGTTAGGCTTTGTTGAAATCAGTAAAGGTTAGCAAATGTTATTGTGGGATCAAAGGCCAAGCACCATTATTATAGGCAACCTGACGTAGGAGCATATAAACAAAGTCCACCTCAAAGGTTAGCAAGGATGAAGCAGATGAAGGAAATGAAGACAGACCAGGAGACTACCTTGCTCTTGAACAGAATTTAATAGCAGGCTAGAAAGAATGGCACCAGCTACCCAGAACCTCTGATTATTACAAACAGTCGCTCACTACTGCTGGCTTAACATGGACAGATTTTAAGTCTAACTTAGTTAATTTGAATAATCAACAGATTCAAGGACATACACAGCAGCAAAACCAAAGCAACTACTAAGAAACAGTAAGGACTAACGGTTCCCTTCAGGGTGGTGTCAGCTCATCTAATGCACGGCACATTATACTGATTTGGTTCCATTTGTTTTTTCTGACCTCAGTGTTTTTGTTTTTTAAGATTGATTTATTTGACAAAGTTACAGACAGAGAGAGGTCTTTTATCTGCTGGTTTTCTCCCCAGATGGCCACAACAGCTGGAGCTGGGCTGATCTGAAGCCAGGAGCTTCTACCTGTACCCAGGTACCCACACGGGTACAGGGGCCCAAGCACTTGGACCATTTTCCACTGTTTTCCCAAGTCATTATCAAGGAGTTGGATTGGAAGAGGAGCAGCCAGGACTTGAACCAACATCCATATAGGATGCCAGCACCAGAGGCTTAACCTACCACGCCACAGCACTGGCCCGCTAAGCTTTAATTTCTAACAACACTCTGATGGCTGTAACTAAATCTCAATGCTCTTAACGTTTCTATGTACAATCAGCAATCTAAAATTCAGAAGCTGTCCCTAGCGGCTTAGCAACTCCAGTGCTAGTTCTAACGAGAACGTATGGGGCTATCTACGGATGTCTGCAGCACGACCAAGTAACAATCAGCAATGTACTCAGAAAACAGTGAGAAGCCTTGGGAAGTTATTTGTTATATACAGGGCTTGGGTTTGAAATGCATACTTGCAGCAGGAAAAGACCGTGTGCATAGTTCATGTTTGAAATATTCAACAAGTACGGTCTATCCTAAGTATCTACTTTTCCCTAACAAAGTAATACATTCAGAAATCTATGGAGAAAAACAAACCCAGTTTCTAAACAAAACACATTTTAATAGTAAGTTTCAGTGGGGAAAAAAAAACCTCAAAGATTTCTGCCCCCGATGGGTGTTAAGCTCACCTTCCATGCATTCATTCACAGATTCATAGTCAGCGTAAGTTCTGCCTTCTGGCCTCTTGGTAGGCTGTACCAGCAAAATGGTATGAGACTGCAAGGGAAGAAGTGATTTCAATGTAAGTGTCTAAGTTTCTACTGGAGAAATCCACAGTATCGTATACAATCCTTATTCATGACATAATCATTATATTAAAACACAGTGTCTTCATCTGACAGTTTTATTTATTTGAAAGGTCGATAGAGAGAGAACCTCAATTTTTTATCCACTGGCTCACTCCCTAAGTGGCCGCAACAGCCAGGAGCTAGGAACTCCATCCAGATCTGCTTACGCAGCCGGCAGCAACTCAAGCGCTCTCAGCCATCACCTGCTGCTCCCCAGGTACATTACAAGGGAGTTGGAACAGAAGTTGGAGTAGTTGGGAACCTGCACTCTGATATGGGATGTGGACATCCCCCCACTAAGCCACAAATGCCCAGTCCCTCCCCTCCCAACAGTAATTACGTCTCTGCCCAAGTGTGGATCAGAGACTGGATTCCTAAGTCCCTCAGCCTCCCAGTCCTGCATGACTGCTTCTGCAAACTCTAACCCTCCCTCCTGCCAAAGCTGTGACAACCAAAAATATACCCAGACATTGCCAAATGCCCCCTACAGGCGGGAGTGAAGACGGGGAATCTCCCTCAGCTGTGCATCGCTCTCCACTGAGACTGAGCCTGCCCAATTACCTGCCACCTAAGGTTCATTAGTTAGATGCTAGTGTGATGCAACTCCACCATAAACTCAATCCCCAATCAACGCACTCTTGTTTTTTCTTCTCTTTTGCAAGACCGTATTTTTCCTGGCCAAAACATCTAGCCTTAAAATGAACCTGGTGCTGGTTCACTCCCCACATGGCTGCAATGGCCAGAGCTGCACCAGCCAGGAGCTTCCTCCCGGCCTCCCACGCGGGTGCAGGGGTCCAAGGACTTGGGTCATCTTCTGCTATCCCAGGCCACAACAGAGAGCTGGGTCGGAAGAGGAGCAGTTGGGACTCGAACCGGAGGACTAACCTACTGTGCCACAGCGCTGGTTCCCCTGGGGCTTTTCAATACTGCTGCCCAAAGATAAGGATTTAAAACTACTAAGAGTGGAACCTGACTAAATTCTAAAAACCTAAATTCTAAAAACTGCACTCAAGATGGCTGCCATTTTTAAGTGGCAGTGCTTCCCTGTTACCAAGCCTTTAAGGATCACTATACCCTTCCACTTTCTTCTTGGGAGCTCTTTTTAGAACACTTCGGCTTTATTAGAAATCCAAACATATTTGCCTTATCACTCTTTTCCCTTCTGGACAGATTTGGTCCTTGCTTTCTATGGTCCTTTCTCAGGGGAGTGCTTTTCCTCTTATAAATCTAGTTTATAGCATATACATCTATGATCTTCTATCTACACAATAAGAAGACTGTGAAAACCCATTTCCTTAATAAAATCCTTATTCTCTGGTTACCAAGCAGTAGCGATTCACTCGGATGAAGGGGTAACCGCCCCCCAAACATGAACTCTAAGAGGTCAGTCTGCTACTGCTGAAATGCCACAATACGTCAATTAGCTTCAAATGCTTTCCCCCAAACTACCAGGGAAGGGGAGGGAGGGAGGGACAAAGTCTGGTCTTCTGTCCCTGGCTATGTCGGTGGAATGCTACAGAAGGAAGGAAGGGACACTTACAAGTTCTGATCCTCAGCCTACTTCGATAAGTAACTGTTGCCCACATCCATCCGACGCGGGATGGACCTGTTACTGGGACTTTCTCAGGTTTCAATCTAAGCATTCGGACACAGTACCACATGGTGACATAAAGCCAGGGAAGGAAACTCAGAGGTCCAACGACTTGCCCAAGGTCACACTGCTGGTTATGGAACCGGAAAGATGGTCTAACTCAGTCCTCTTCGGGAGACCATGTTGGGCCAAACAATGAAGCAGCTCAACTCAGCAAAGCACACCTGGAGAAGTTCCTTGCTAACCCCCGCGGCAACCAGAAAAGGAAAGTCTACGTGTGGAGGCAGCCCCGATTCCTCTCTCTTGATCTAGAGACAAAAGCCCACCCATCGCCCCGCCGCCCCGCTCACAGGCGTCGGGAGGCCCGGCCCGGGACCCCACCTTGTCTGCCTCTGGTCCCCAGGGACTTAAGAAGGGCTAAGAACAAGACTGAAGGCGGAGGCAGAAGCCCAATGAGGCACCTAGGAGTCTCAGAGAAGGCGAAAAAGGAGGTAAAAAATAAGGGGTGGGGGGCAGGCAGGGCGCTGGAAAACAAAAGGGAACGGCTGAGGAAGCCCCCTTCGGAGCCAACACGACCCCTCTGGGCTCACAGGCTGGCTCCAGGAAGCCGGCGATTCTGTCAGTTTCGGGAAGGGGTTTGTCAGACGTCTCTCGGCCATTGTTCCTACAGCAGCATGCTTGGAGGGAAGGAGCAGCACCCTCACGCCTCCCTCCACCCAGCGGCCAGAGAGAGCGAGCGTATCCGCAGACCCACGGCACGCCTCGCTCGAGCCAGCAGGCGGGCGCGCAACCGTAGGGCGGACCCGGGCTCCGGGGCCTACAGCCAGGCCCCGCGTCCCCGCGGCGGGAAGGGGAAGGGTCGAGCCACGAGCTGCAGGGACGGGGAGCTGCAAGCGCGCGCGCTGGGAGAGTCAGGGCAAGAGGCTGGGGAGATGTACGGGACTGAGGTCGCTTGCAAAACGGGGGCCTCGGGGAGCCGCAAGGGCCTTTCTCACCATCGCGCCAAACTCTTCTCTTTGCAGCCGCTGCCGACACCGCCGCCGCACACGAGCTTAGCCGCAACGCCGCCAACAGCCAATCCCCGCGAGAGGAGCCGCCGGAAATCGTCGGGAGCGCGACGCGAAGAGAACCTTCGTACCATAGAGACGCACACGCTTCCGGCAGCTAGAGCAGATACTGACTCGGCTTCAGCCATCTTGGATAAGGGCGAAGAACTACGTAGGGAAAGCTTCGGCGCTTTAAAAAGAACGCTCTTTTTCAAGACTCTATTTCCCGTACCCTTTTTATTAGAAGTACGACTAGAATGATGGCCGGTATAGACAGGGACACCGGTCATTTTTTCACCAGCCCTACTCAAAAATGGCGGCCGCATAAGTAGCCCGGGCCATAGGTCGGTTGTAACCCGGAAGTGCTTTTCTGAAGCCGGGGCCAGTGAGGCAATCCGGAAGTGGATGTAATGAAGAGGTGCCACTTGGCGGCCATGGCAGCTGTAGTATCCGTGACTCCGAGTCAAGGCCCGGCGGAGTGGAATAGCATGGGCAGCGCCGGGTGTAGGGCAGAGACAGCTTTATGTCAGCTTCGCTGCTGAACCTCTAGGACTCTTCGTTAGAGACCTACAGGACTCATTTCCCTCGTCCAGACTTGGCGGAGAGTTTGCTGGGACTGGTGGGCTGGTCCCATCCCTGGGGGGCGGATCACCCGCGGGGCCCGCCTCAGGGAAACCAGGGTCGCCGCCACGACGCGCGGGTTCGCTTGGACTGTGCTGCCTTTCCTGCTGCCGCCTGGGACGTTGTCTGGGGGGTGGGGGGGTGCCGTTGTGCACCCTCATTCCGAAGATCGAAGAAGTCGCTCGTTCGCCCATTTCCCCAGTGCTCTTTACCCCCCGAGAACCCAGTGACAGGCATTGGCAGGGGCCCAGGATTGCTGAAAAGTTCTCTCTGGTGCTAATATCAGCAAAAAGGGGCTCTTGGCAGGTACGTGCGAGAGAAAGGTGCCTCGTGGACACAGCCGCAGGTGGGGAGGTCGCAAGGACTGGCGAGCGCACTTGTTCTCTTGGAACCGCGGCACGTGTGTCAAGAAGCTAAGCACCCATTGGAGCCACTGGAATTTTGTGGTCTGGTGGTGGTGGTTGGATGAACGAGGGCAGAATGGATGATTTCCTCTCCATTAGCTTGCTCTCTCTGGCTATGTTGGTGGGATGTTACGTGGCTGGCATCATTCCCCTGGCTGTTAATTTCTCAGAGGTAAGAGATTCTACGTTTTGTGTCCGCTGTCAGGATGGCTCCTGGCCGGTAGTGACAGTGGCAAGGGGGAGCTGCTTCCTGGTTCGTCTCCGAGCTCGCGGCCCCATCAAGGAAGAAAAGATGGGTAGCATTTAAGTAATAGAACCAAACCTTAGATAGAGCCAGAATTCTTCGTCTTGGGTGGGTGGGTACTCCACGGAAGATCTTGGGATATTCTGAAACCGCTTATAAAGATTCCCAGAAGTTTCAAGGAATCAGGCTCTAGATTGTTAGCGAGAAGATAAATGGAGAATGTTGTTTGTCCATATGTGTTCAAATCAATGTGATGACTTCTCTTCTTGAGAAAGTGAAATATTTTGTTTTTCTGTTTTTTTTTTTTTTTTTTTTTTTTTAGATCGCAGATCGCTGTGAATGTAAGGGGGAAAAAACACAAGTGGTTTTTAAGTTACATTTCCTTTTAAAGAAAAGCATTGAAATTCTGTTCTGAAGTTTTCATCCCTGTTTGCTTTGAAATGCATTTTTGGTTAATGTGTTGTCACATTTTGGTTAATTTGGTTGTCATTCGTGGAATACACATTAGCAGGGGAAGAGGATAGATGAGAGCGTTGCTCAGTGCGAATGCACGTGGATTCTTGATATTGTCGAATGTGCCCGCGGTGAGAGGGTAGGGAGAGAAATGGTGATTCAGAAGTAGCAGGTTCTTGTGAGTTTGTCCTGCCTCAGTGACGCGTGTCCTGAAAGTGCCCTCAGAGGGAAGGGGAGAGCAGAGGGCCCTAGAGAGGCGAGGACAGGGAACCGGGGTGAGGTGCGAGGCGGCCTTGAAGACGGTGAGGAGGGAAAAGCAGCCCACTGGCGGAGTAGCTGGGGCGAAGTGCTGGAAGTTCGCAGCCAGATGGAAGGGAGGCTGCAGGCGTTACCGTTCCTTTTCTGTTTTCCTTTTTTGCTGCACCCCTCAGCATCTAATGATAACGTTTTATTTTTATGATGTGCATTACCTGACTTCATTTTAATACTCGATGAGGAAACAGACTCAGATCGTGTGAGCTGAGCAAGTTCATGCAGTATACTGCGTTTAGAGCTGTTTTAAAAATCTTGATGGTTCTGTCTCAGCAGTTCTTAGCCACTCTGCTCACTGAGGCAAAGGTACATGGTACCTGGGACCTGGTTGTGGCACAGAGGTTTAAGCCACTATTGGGATGCCCACATCCCATATATCAGAGTCCTGGCTCTTTCTGATCTCGCTCCCTGCTGATGCATCCTGAGAGACAACAGAAAATGGCCCAAATGCCTGGGCCCCTGCCACCCACCTAGGAGACCTGGATGGAGTTCAAAGCTCCTGCTTCAGCCTGGCCCAGCCCTGGCTCTTGTGGGCAGAAGATATTCCACCCCCCACCCTCACCTTTCAAGTAGATGAAAACAAATAAACATAAAAAAAAGGTACATGACTTGTATAAGGTGGTTCACCTCTGTCCAAGGGTGTAACACAGTAAGGAGTTAAATATAACAAAGTACAACTTAAAATACAGCTGATGTTTTCTTTCCCCAAGAACTCAGCATGTTTTCTAGACAGAGTATGCTATCAGGATGGATGGATATATTGTGAAACTGGTGATAAATGGGTAGAAATATACTTCATTCATGGAGAGCTGGATGTACAGTCTCTATCCTTAGAAACTAGCTCCCCAAACTCCTACCTTGGCTAAATGACTTTCCTTTTTCAAGAACGCTGGCTTTTCCTAGGGACTAGTGTTACAAATAAAAGAGCCAGGTAAACTTACTTATTTTACTTTCCCATTTACATGAAAAGGTAACCTTTTATTCATGTTCTTAATCTTGCTAATGCTTCGCTGTGCATTCTTTTTCTTTGAGGAGTAAAAGCCAGATGACCAGTTCAATCGCTGGGTATGGCAAGATTAGTATTTAGAAGTCAATGTCAGCTTGTCTGAAACCTGCTGTAGCAGGGTCCACCTGCCACTCCATGACCAGCCAGAGGCTTAAGGGTGTTGATTTCTCTTTCATGTCACCAACGTTCCTTACCCCAAAGCCCTCTCTCTCTATACTGTTGTGAACTCCCAGGCCTTACCTGGCAACTGTAGCTTCATGCCTACTGGTTTATAAACAAAGGCAAAAGCAAATATAAATAACGACAGTAATCAGAATGCCAGGGTTTTTTTTTTAGCCTATGGAAAGGAGGAGAACCAAGTGTGTAAGGGAGGCCGACACCCGCTTTACACAGACGCTCCTGTCCGGGAAAGGAATTGGACGGACTGATTAGCTGCTTGTGTTCTAGATTCAGTTGCTGATGAGCAGTTTTCTTTGGCTCTGAACACCGATGCTACATAAACAGGTTGAGAACCTGTCTTACCTATTAGAAGCTCGTCTTAGCAGCAGCACTGACGCTTAGGGTGAAGATGCAGAGAGATGGCCAAAGTGGGATTTTCTGCTGATCGCGTAAGGATTGTTCAGTGTTTACCTGGCATGTCTCTCTCTGCCACAGAGCTGGTAAAGAGAGCAGGCTGGGTTTGCACCAGAACACCAGAGCAGTGTTCCTCTAATTATCTGCTCCAGACTGGTTTTTGTTTTAAAATTTTAATTTCAATTTGTAAAAATGAAGTACTAGGAAAATGTAGTGGAAAAAAGGGACACCAAAGACAAGCCTGCACATATTGTTATTAGATCCAACAGATGTAAAATTACTTGTAAAATTGTAATAATCATATTGATATAAGCATTTCTGAAGGCTTTCTCTCAGCTTGCCTACTTTTCTTGCAGCAGAACATTTTGGGGTAAAATGGCACATTTTTTTCATGTATTACAGCAGCATAAATCCCTGAGTAGGCACATGAAAGGCATGCTTCTCTTAAGATGATTTTGGAGTTTAATATGATTAATAGTGCACCAATTTCAAAAGGAATCATCTGATACAGTGAAGTTCAGAAATCATTGTCATTACCTGAGCAAGCTGTTTAACATCTCTTTAATAGACTTATGGGATTATTGTGAGGATGAAATGGGATACTATTAGCACAGGGCTTACCATTATGTCTAGAACATAATAACTTGAAAATGATGAGGAGTCTCAGTAATGATTACAAAAACTGAATTTTCAAGTTGTTCATTTTTATAACTGTTCTGACTTACCATTTTTTAAAAGGAGATTTTTTTTTTTTGAAAGGTAGAGGTAAAGAGAGACAGAGGCAGAGAGGTCTTCTGTCCACGGGTTCACTCCCCAAATGGTTACAATGGCCAGAGCTCGGCCATTTCCGAAGCCAGGAGCCAGGAGCTTCTTCCCGCTCTCTCACATGGGTGGAAGGGCCCAAGGACTTGGGTTGTCTTCTGCTGCTTTCCCAGGTGCAATAGCAGGGAGTTGGATTGGAAGTGAAGCAGTTGGGATTTGAACCGGCACCCATATGGGATGCCAGCACTGCAGGTGGCAGCTTTACACCACAGTTCTGGCCCTTGATTTACTGTTTTTAAGCCTTTTCTAGAGCACTTCAAAAAATGCATTGGAAAATAGAATTAAAGATTACATTTATTTTGGTGCAAAATTTTTGAAATCCAGGTATGGTGTTTCCATAGTATGCATTTCTCATGTGCTTTTTGAAGACCCTTGTGTATTTGAGAACAGACTTGTGATGGTGGCCAAGCTCCTGACCTCCCCACTTCCTGGTGATTTGTTTGAAATCCAAAGGTCTTGTTCTGGGGTGGCCATTCCCAGCCACTGTGAGTGTTGTGCCTTGTAGAGGCCAGTTTTCCTCTAGTCTTCCTGGTTTGTGATATTTTTCTTAGTATTTAGCTTTCTTTTCTTTGTTATTTAATCTCATTTTAGGCTTTGTCTTGTTCTTTTATGTTTTAAGGTTTTATTTTGTGTCTGATTATAATAACTCATTCATGACAAGTATTTTTGGGGGTTGAGTTGCCACCAAATCAAAGGTTTATTGTATGTGAAGAAGGATTTGTTCAGTATGCTTTTTCTTTGACAATTGGCTGTCTTTGTAGCATTTTTAAGGATTTTTGTATTGTGTGTTTTTATTCTCTAGTAATGCAGTGGGTTTTTATAATTGGTAACCTTTGCAACTTGGTAAATGTACTCATATCTGTAAAGCACATTGTTAACTTGTTTTTATTCAGATTGAACCACAGATTGCTGTCTCATAAGAATCTCTTGTTGGGGCCAGCGTGTGTCAGTGAGCTAAGCCACAGCCAGCAAAGCTGGCGTCTCACATAAGTGCTGGTTCAAGTCCCTGCTGCTCTGCTTCCAATCCAGCTCCCTGCTAATGTGTCTGGGAAGCAGCAACAGATGGCCCAAGTGCTTGGGCCCCTGCCACTCATGTGAGAGACCAAGATGGAACTCAGCTTTTCATTTTGGCTTGGCCCAGCCTCTGCTGTTGCACCCATTTGGGGTATGAACAGTGGATGCAAGAGCAATCTCTCTCTCACTTTCAAATAAAAAAATCTTGAAAATATATATTTTTTTCCTCATCAAAAAATCTTTGGTTGATGAAACTAAGTTTGGATCAAATAAAATCTGGCTACATATCTGGCTCAGTAATATTTTCCTGAAAACCTTTGTTTTCTCCTGGGTGCTGCATGGATAAACATAATGAAGAATTATCTACATAATAATATGAGGAGTAAAGTTTGTTGAGCTCTTTCTGCATACCAGGATGTGTAGTATCTTCTTTAATCTCCAGGATGAAACTTTGAGAGACCCTTTAACTTTTCAGATG